ATTTCGAGAACGTGCATGGGGCGAGCGTGTATCTGAACGGCAAACGGATGTACTGAAAACAGACCCTCTGGAAGAAAAACGGAGCAATTTCCTGTGTTTGTTTATTATTGGAATATGGAAATATGCATCCTTCAGGTCTATGGACACAAACCAATCCCCTCGTGTCACATATTCGAGAACATGTTTCACCATCAGCATGAGAGAGGGTCGTTCCATGATGAATTTGTTGAAAACAAGCAGATCCAGAATTGGTCTGAGCCCTCCCGACTTCTTCGGAACCAGGAAGTACCGAAAGTAAAAACCGTCTTCTTCCTCTCCCAGGGGAAACTCTGGAAATCACGTCTTTTTCCAGAAGCTTCATCAGCTCTGATTGGAGGATTATGCCTTGTTCTGGGGATGTGAGATGGGATTCTAACACTCCGTTGAATTTTGGCAGTGTTTTTGCAAACTGCAGTGTGTAACCTTTGTGAATTAAATGATGCAACCATTTGTTCAGGCTGCCTGTTTTCTGCTACGCTGCTATGCACTCCGAAAGTGGAAGCGTGTGAATGTTTTGTTTCAAACGGGAGAACAATAACTGAGCCTTTTATCAACGTTGTATCCTGTGTGTGTGTGTGTGTGGGGGGGGGGGGGGGGGCGCTTCGCCTGCACTGACCCATGGGAAGCTGGCAAGAAAAGGGCTGTTTCTCAGCTCCTATGTAAAGGTTCTTACAATGGTCCCCGGCCGTTCCTGGATGGGGATGAGAACCGGCGCTAGCGGATGAACAAAACAAGCACCGCTTCAATCTAGGTTCAACTTCAGCATTCACTTCTGTCAGCTGGTCAGGAAAAAGACACGAATAATTCCTGCGTAAAGCTCTCACTTTAACTGCAGGTTCATGTTTTTTACCTGTGTTGTTTGTGTTTTAACTTCTTGTTAAACATCTTACCATTATGTGCTTCTTGACAACTGCCTTCAGCGCTCGACTCCTCTGACAGGCAAGGAGGTGGGTCTGATGGGTGCGTGGAGGAGTTAAAGGAGCTCTTTGACTTTGGTGATGGCCGTGTAGGAGGCGACCGGAACCCTCAGCTTTAAGGGATCGTTGGCTGAACCCAGGAGGAGAGCGGACACAGCCAGGAAACAGGGCCAGACCGGGTCCAGGGTCCAATATGCTGGGCGGCGAACCTTCCAGCCAGAAGGGTCGATGTGGCCAGGGCCACCAGTTCAGGCACTTCCAGGTCGCAGGCTCTCGCCGACCTCCCTTTGATCTCCAGGAGCTTGTGAAGCAGAGTGGTGGACAACCCCTGGGGGCTCGGGAGGGGCGACCATAGAAGACAACACCGGCTCCAAACCTCTTGTAAGGAGGATGAAGTGCGGCTGCTAGCTGTTTCTGCATCAGAGGGGGAGTGTTCACGAACTCCGTGTTCAGAGAGTTAAAAAATTCCTCGAGCGAACAGACCCCCCTCGGTTGAAACTCGACCAACTCAGAGAAAAAGAACTCATACCGGCGCTGCTTCTCCTCAGCCAAAAGAAGTTTACAGGCTGGACAGGAGAAGAGCGGACCCAAAGCTTGCCGAGCGTGGTCAGGCAGCTTTCACACACACGACATGCTGGTCCGTCGATAAGATGTAGCCCGCCTGGCACAGACGGATGGTCTTCGATTTTTTAATTGAAGTCATCATTCTTCTTTTCTTTCTATTATTGTTTTGTAGAAGTTGTGTCCTTAGCATTGGCTGAAGAAAAACGGGAGTCGAGCTCCGGTCCAGATGCAATTTATAACGGACCGGGTGGGGCCCACACAGCAGATGGGCGTGGACTAGAAGTTTTCAGTGTTCGGCGTGCTGCGCATGGGTAAATCCAAAAGCGACAGCTTTTAAAGGGTGTAACTTACACGAAATAGAACTAAAAAAATTGTCAATGCGAAAGAGGAAAGAAGGGGCTGGTGTTGCTCTCGCTTTGAGTTTACTCTTTGTTGCATGCATGCTGTAGGTGACAAGCGTCCTGAGCATAATAAAAACAGCAGCGGAGGTGTCGGTGTTATTTATTTATCATCTCAGCAGCAGAGGGGAGAGACACGGTTCAAGCATGGCTCAGTCATATTTGTTCATAACTTTATTAGTAACCCTGAGTTGCCGTATCCAAGCAAACAGTTGCCAAACGCACCCTGGCAAAATGAGAATGGTGCAAATAACCCTACTCCCTGATGCAAACCCCCCCCCTCCAAAAAAAACATGTTCCCCAGGGTCACACGTGCCCCCACTGGAATTGCTCCAGGTCCCCCCAGTGGGGCGCTCCCCACTATTTGAGAAGGACTGCTTTGATGTAAGAAATAACACATTTAATAGATAGACGGATACCTCTGCCTTTATCCCTAATTGGTAGAATTAATGCTATTAAAATAAGTATTCTGCCTAAAATACTACACTTATTTTAAAATATCCCTCTCCACCCACCTGAATATTTATTCCACAAAATAAACAAACTATTTGGCAGATTTATTTGGTAAATGTCATTAAACCTACCTTAGGACAAAGGAAGTTTGAAGTGTCCAAATATGAAGTGGTACTACTGGGCTGCACAACTAAAAGCAATTAACTATCCTGATGCATGCTCAATAATCCAGGTAGAAAAATCCAAAAAAGTTCAATCTGGTCTAAAAAAGCAATTAAATTCCACTTTGGGACAGGAATGGCCCCACAGTGGCAGGAAATGGAATCTGATGGCTTAAAATTGCCTTTCCCATTGTATCTGATGAACAGTCAAAATAAGTCAAACAAACAAATCCAATCATAAGAAAAATATGATAAAAGTATGGTTTGAGGTGAAAAAGAACATTAAGGAGCCTAACATAAGGCTCCCGGTACACTAGAGTCGCATTCGGGCCCAAAAAATCTGATCTGTCCCGATCCCAGCCTGAAGTCATAATTTCCGAACCCCACCCAACCCGACGAATTAACAGTAATTACTGGTCCAAACCCGAACCCCCCCCCCGACATATTAACGGTCAGGGACGCGCAGTTGAATAAACGCGGCAGAAGATTCGGAGCTGAGAGGTGTTTGTCCTTACATGACCATAAAAAAGCATTTAAACTCTGTTTCTGACTGCATTCTTCTGAATTTCTGAGACAGGCGGACAGCTCTGACACACGCGTCTGCTTTGGGATCTCACCTGTTTGGGTTGTCGGCCGTGCACGTCCACTGAAGGCAGCGGCAGAATGAACGTCCATTTGGGCGATGGATCATTGCCTGGCAGTACAGTCCCATCTGAAGCTTAACTGAACTTTTTACCTCATTCAAGGCCAGTCAGCGCATGGTGAAATGGCCATGTGCGGATGGTGGATGTATGGCAGGCCATGTTATCATATAATTGGATCGCGGCTGATCTTGACCTAATTAAAAGCCCGAGACCGTCCCGGCCCGCCCCACCCCACCCCGCCCATTTATCACATTATAACAACCTGGACTGGCCCTAATCCAGGTTGGTCCGGACCTGGTTTCGGGTTAGAAATGACAGCTCCCCCATATGGGGAAATCACTACTTTGGTCCAGGGAAAGCTGATAGTGTGTTTAAGAACTGGGCATCTAAAGGCTTAAAAAAAAAAATGTCAAGACTGGTACCCAACCAAATCCAATAATATGATGTCATTTGAACTTAAATGCACATACAATATGGACAACAAATAGTTCTATAAATTTCTACAACTCAGAAATTACATCAGAACTAGTCAAAATGGATGCATAACCAAACCCTCAGAATCACAACTGGAAAAAGTTATGGTAAAAAAACAACTTACATAAAGCAGCAATATTAGAACTTTACAATCTATTAATGACATATTTGTCAGAAAATTGTGATACAATACGGACAATATGGAGCGAAGAACTGGGAGTGGAGTTTCTACATGAGGAGTGGGCTTCAATTTGCATTAAAATTCACACCGAGTTCATCAACACAAGATTTAGATTGCTGAAATATAAATGGACTGAGGACATAATTACATCAGTTAAACTGAATAAATTTGATTCTAATTCTAATTCTTTTTTTTTCCGCTGAGGACTGACGGCGGTGGTGCGCTGACCTGGATGATGGCATCCCTTCTTCGTGTGCATGTTGCAGTGATTAACACAACTAGGTGGAGGGACATCCAAGGAGTGAGTGTGATTTCACGGATGTTTGCAGTGGTTCTTTTCGGGAGTCTTCCATCACGAACAGGTCTGTTGGCACCTGCCGGTAAGCCTCAGGAGCTGGGTTTTATTCTGGTAAAATTTCTTTTATCTAAATACAGGTATTGAGATTTACTGTTTTTAATAAATATTGTAAATCTTGAACAGTGTATCTTGCTTATTGCAATTACGTACCTGTGTGTCCTAACTTGTGATTTCCTGGTTGAAAATCCAGGTGGCGTTGTTGGCAACAAATTCAAATGTTATTGTGTATTATTTGCCAATTGTCACATTAGCATGACACGTTTGAGTTGTGCGTGGTTTATACAGACAGTTTTTGAGTGTGTGTGTGTGTGTGTGGGGGGGGGGGTGTTCAGCTTGAGAGAAGTGGCAACTTGAGTGCGGCCTTTAGATTTTTTAGCAAGAGAGCCTGCATTTTGCACCGCTAGCTTAGTGTTATGTCAGTGCCAGGTGTGTGTGTGTGTGTGTGGGGGGGGGGGGTCGGTTTCATAGGTGGGGTGCTCAGTTCTGTTAACGGGGTGGGGCACCCTGCTTGTATAATGGTAGGGGAAACACTGTTGTTTGTTAAGGATGCAGAAATTGCAGATGAAGAAAATTAAGTATAAGGCTGGTATGACCCTGATAAATAAGATTCATGGAAAGTTAAGAATTTTGGAAAATGTGAACTGTTAAAAATGTTGTATATAAATTAGTATAAGTATACAGTGTATAAATCTTTATTGCAAATGAGAGCCCAGCAAATGTATAAATTGTTCCTATGTAAATTCACAAATAAAATTATGTTTAAATCTACATATCTGTAGATGTTTGTAGACATAAACAGTCATGAACTCACATCGTTCTCGTTGTCATTCTTGAGCTTGTGTTTGATCTCCTCCAGTTCTGCTTTAACTCTGCAACAGAAGCACCCAACCTAGTCTTGTACAAACATGTCTACACACAGCTGCTTGTCAAGCAGTGAACTATGATGCTAATACACTGTATGCTGACATCAACTCACTTCTTGAGTTCCTCTTCCAACTCTTTGTTCTTCCCCTCTAGTTTGGTCTTGGCCTGAGTGACAGCATCCAGCTCTCCTCGCAGAACCTCCGTCTCACATGACAGCTCATCTACTTGAGTGATCAGGTCATTTTTCACCACATTCAAAGCGTTTCTGCAAAACACGTACAAATGATTATCCTATGTTAAAACACTAGGATGACCACCATCTATTTTTTGTCATGGAGTAGAAAAGTAATTTCTGAACTCCATGTAGATCTATAAGATGAAATTATTCCAATTTGAAGTTGCTGTGAATTAAAATTTATCACTCAGTAAAATAAACCTGCCTGATAATTATGAATTCAAAAACGTACAAAAATGAAAACTGAAACAAAGCAGAAAACTGTATGTAAAACTCAGAGCTCAAAGTTTTCATACTATGTCCATTTATTTGTTGTTTTAGTCCGTCTTTTCACCCTGCCAGCTTGTCCTCTTGATTATGAACGCTGATGAATACTGGTGAGTCTTTGGATCAACGTTTCAATATTTAACTGGTCTTTTTCTAGTTTTGTAACCAGCTCCAGTTTGCTGCTCCTGTAATTCAATTCAATTCAAAAATACTTTATTAATCCCAAAGGGAAATTTAATGTTGTTGTAACTCATCATATGGATCATTAAAGAATTGTTCTAGATGCTGATGGCTGTGGGCAGGAAGGATCTCTTGTAGCGTCTGTCCTACAACAGATCTGAAGAAGTCTCTGACTGAAGACACTCTGTTGTTGTATGACAGTCTGATGAAGAGGATGCTGAGGGTTGTCTATAATGTTCTTCGTTTTATGAAGAATCCTTCTTTGTACAGTCATCTCCAAAGGTTCTAGAGGAGTCCCCAGAACTGAGGGTGTTTTCACACCTGATAGTCCAGTAATAATATAATAATAATAAACTTTATTTCTATAGCACCTTCCAACAACGCCGTGCATTGACCAAAGTGCTTTACAAGATAAAACAAATAAAAACAGGACACAATAAATCAGTGCAAATTAAAAACACAGCCAGAATAAAAGAAGGTAAAAGAGATTAAAAAAATACTAAATACTAAAATACTAAAAGTTAAACATTAAAAGCCCCTTTAAATAAGTATGTTTTCAGTTTGGCCTTGAACAGAACCAGATCAGAGATGGCACGCAGCTCATAGGGAAGAGTATTCCAGGCTGCTGGGCCTGCAACAGAAAAGGACCGGGCCCCCCATTGTTTGCACCTTGAGCAAGGCACCTCCAGCAGATTTTGACCAGCAGACCGTAAAGCTCTGCTGGGCTGGTGGACTTTCAAAAGTTCTGAAATATAAGGTGGTGCAAGGCCATTCAAAGCTTTAAAAACAAACAGTAGCAGCTTGAACTGTGTTCTAAACTGAACTGGGAGCCAGTGTAAAGAAGAAAGGACAGGAGTGATGTGTTCATATTTACGTGTGTTAGTCAACAAGCGAGCAGCAGAGTTTTGTACAAGCTGTAAACGGGAGATAGAAGATTGATTAATACCCACATATAAGGCGTTACAGTAATCAAGCCTAGAGCTCACAAAGGCATGGATGGCCTTCTCCAGATCACTACGGCTAAGGAGTGATTTTACTTTGGAAAGCAGACGGAGCTGAAAGAAGCTGGTTTTCACAACAGAACTGATCTGTTTGTCTAGCTTTAAGTTACAGTCAAGCTCCACTCCTAGATTTTTTACCACCTGGTTGGCGTGGGGGAGCGGAAAACCTAGACTGGGAGAGATGTTGCATGAATTACTGGAAGCACCAAATAAAATCCATTCAGTTTTATCGTTATTGAGGTGGAGAAAATTCTGAGACAGCCAGTGCTTAATGTCGTTTAAGCAGCTGGCAACAGAGATGAAACTGAGTGAGGAACTGGGAGTGACCGGCAGATAGATTTGTAGATCATCTGCATACAGATGAAAAGACAGATTATGGCGTGCAATGATGGGTCCTAATGGTAGCATGTAAAGTGAGAAGAGAACAGGCCCCAGAATGGATCCCTGCGGTACACCAGAGGTCAAAGAGACTGAAGAAGAGGACAGATCACCAATCATAACAGAGAAAGTTCTGTCTGTTAAATAGGACTTAAACCACTCGAGCACAACTCCCTGAAGGCCAACCTGCTGAGCCAAACAAGTGATCAGGACCTGATGGTCTACAGTATCAAAAGCTGCTGAGAGGTCCAACATCACCAGCAGAACAGGTTTTTTGGCATCGAGGGACAAAAGAATATCATTCTGTACTTTGAGTAGTGCACATTCAGTGCAATGATGGGGTCTGAAGCCAGATTGAAAATTTTCAAACAAGTTGTGTTCTAAAAAAGATTGCAACTGAATGAAAATGAAGCTGACAAAGATACACAGGAGCCATTTAAAGTTCTGTACGTCAGCACAAGAACTTTAAAACGGATTCTAAACTCGACTGGGAGCCAATAATAATAATAATAGTAATAATAACTTTTATTTATAATGCGCTTTATATTCACAATGAATCTCAAAGTGCTACAAACAGTGAACATCAGATAACATCAGGATAAAAGCAACCATAAAAGCAACTGAGAGGAGGAACAACCAAGAGGATAACGCCTCAGAATGATCACATTAAAAATCTAAAAAAGTTAAATCTGGTCTTCTGGACATTCAAAAAAAAAAAGCAAAACAACAAAAAAATTGTAGAAACATTTAGCCTTTCATCCGAAACACTTCCTCAGTCTGAGGTGCTGTATTCAGCTCAGTCTTATAAAAAGCACCTTCTCAGAGTGGATCAACCAGTTTGCTACTGACAACCAAAACCAGCTGCTCACATGGTCAAGAAGGACCATCAGCCTAACAATGGCTCATTATCACCTGATGGCTGTTTACTATTCACAGGAGGCTGAGTGATACTAGCAATCACAGTACTGATGACACCACAGTGGTCGGACTAATCTCTAAGGGAGATGAGACATTTTACAGACAGGAGGTCCTGGAGCTAGCAACCTGGTGCTCAGAGAAAAATCTGGCTCTGAATATCAAAAAAACCAAGGAGGTGATTATTGATTTCAGGAAGCACAGCACAAACCTAGCCCCCCTTTACATCAACGGCGAGTGCGTGGAGAGGGTTCACACTTTCAGATTTCTTGGTGTCCATATCTCTGCTGACCTAAACTGGAAAGAGAACACCACAGTGGTCATCAAGAAGGCTCAGCAGAGACTACACTTCCTAAGAGTCCTTAAGAAGCACAACTTGAACACCAACTTGCTGCTGACTTTCTACCTCTCGTCCATCGAGAGCCTGCTGACATACTGTATCTCAGTATGGTCCGGCAGCTGCACCCTGGCTGACAGGGAGAGGCTTCAGAGAGTAGTCAAGACAGCACAAAAGATAATTGGCTGCCCTCTCCCCTCCCTGATGGACATTTACACATCACGCTGCCTCAACAGAGCAGAAAGCATAATCAAGGACTGTTCACACCCGGGTGTTGAACTGTTTCACTTGTTACCTTCAGGGAAACGCTACAGGTGCATCAGAACAAGAACAAACAGATTCAAGAACAGTTTTTTCCTGAAAGCCATCACCACCCTGAACTCACACATGCACTGATTTAATCATCTAACCTCCCAAACACCTGGACTTCTACTGTGCAATACTACTGACATTTCATACTCTCAGTCACCTTAACTACCTCACTAATATCCATAATGTGCAATATAATTGTGTAATACTTGTATTTTTTACTTTCATTATTATATCTATATTGCGTTACATTTTTATATTTTTAGTGTGTTTAATGTGTGTTTTCTTAAGGCGTGTTTTTGCACTGGAAAAAGGAGTGGCTCTTAATTTCATTGTACTGTGTATAATGACAATAAAGGCATTCTGATTCTGATTCTGATTGTAAGAGGGGGACAGTTGAACATGGAGGCTCCACCCCTGTTTAATGATGGACGGTTTCTTTTCACAAAGATGGCC